AATGAAAAATCATTGGATGATCTCTGCTATGTTTACTGGGAAAAGTATGCAAAGGCACTGTTGAAATCTAAGCATGGATACCTGTTGGTGGAACGATTGAAATTGGATGCACATAGGTCACAATAGCAAGAGGGAGCTAGACGTATTCGCTGTTCACGCAGACCAACAAGGTTTATCCTACACATGAATGTATTAGAACAAGCGCTTAGATGGATAGCACGTAGATGAAATTAGCAGCCGACTCGAGTAATTCCGGCAGCGATTCGCCTAGGAACTTGATACAACGTTCCTATTCTTGGTTCAAATACAACTCGATAAGCTCTATCCAATGATATGCTCAGATTTTCGATAGACCAAAGTATGACTTTTGGGCTGATAGATGGCGCTAGTGAGGATCTGAAAATTATACTTTGGGCTATCGAAAATCTGAGCATACCATTGGATAGAACTCGTTGAGTTGTCCTTGAACCGTGAATAGGAACGTTGGACCAAGTTCCTAGGAGAATCACTGCCGGAATTACTCGAATCGGCTGCTAACTTCACCTACGTATGGATAGCAATGTATAGGACTTCAGATTCCGTAAATAGTATGGGAAGACGAAAAATTGTTATGCTTTGCTTTATTTTCTGTTAGTTTTTAGACACTCGGTTCTAGATCATGCTAAATAAAAAAAAGAGAAGAACAAAAAAATAACGTGGATTGAGGATTGTGATCCAAGTTGTGAAGAGGTAAGGTCAATAGAAAAGAAAGAAAAAAGTACATATATATATATATATATGTATTAATCATCTCGGTAATACAATATATCTCCACAATTATTTTACTGTTCTTTTTCTCTCTTCATATCGCGATTGTTTCTTCACGTTTCTATGTTTCTTTTTTTAATGTTATTGTTATTTCTTTGCTTCTTATTTTCCATTTATTTTATTTTAATTCAGTTTATTATTGGTATATATGGTCTTGAAGCTCAATAGCCCCTTCAGGGCCGACATGGCTATAGGACTAAAGAATGCTAATATTAAAAAAATTGATTGCAGTCATGTTTCATTGGAGAAACAAATCTTATTGATAATTGATGTAATTTATACTAATTTTTTGCATGTTGAGTTGATTATTTCCAATAATTTTCAGTTAACTATATTATTAAATTAATATCTATTATATTTAACAGTTTCTTGAATTTCTTCTGCATGCGGAACATCAACATGATTCATCTTATTATGTTGTTATTCATGATGAATATAGACGTATTCATGATGTAAGAGTTTAAACATTAAAAAAATTTCCTGAACATTATATTTTAATGTGGGATAATGAACAAGACATTGTTAAATATAAAAGATACAAATCTAGGAATAGAGTTAACTGAAAATGATTGGAAGTAATTAATTCAATATGGAAAAACTAGTAATAGATGATATCAATTGAGAATGTTTGTTTCTCAAATAAAAAAAGACTGAATCCTCATTAATAAGTACAGCTGTAAATCAAATTTTTGACTATATATATTCAAAACAATGCTATGAGATTGTCTCGAAAATAGACAGTTTAAAACTAAATAGAACTGAATATACAATTGCATTAAAACCACTTCGTCAATAACTTCATGAGATATCGAATGAAGCCAAAATTGAAGAAATTCGATGCCTAAAATATATTAATTTAATTAAATCTTCATAAAACTTGTCAATATTGGAGTTATACTGAAAATTTATTTCTACGGGGATAAGTGCGTAACAAAAACAATTCAATTAGGAAATTAGAATTTTGATTGAGTTCTATTTGAAAAACAAAATTTTAAGCAGAACTTCGTCTATTTGAATCTATATATGAAAGATTTTGTACATGCACATTTTACAGAGCAGATTTCTGCCACCACTAACATGCCATAGTTTTGTGCTATTTTGTTCCCGTCTGCTCTTGAGTTTATAATACTATATCTTTCATGATTCATCTGTCTTTCTTTCTCCTTTTTCAAGTAATGTTTCCCCTTCTATCTATTAATACTGATCGATGCTCATGAATTTGCTTCTCGAACTGTAATTTACGATTTTTCTCTCTACGTCGTCATTATTACGAAAGAATAATTCGAATCACTCATCTACGTTCTCTCTTTTTTTCTTATTGATCAGCTATACGTACTTTTACGTATTCTGCAGAGATACTTTAATAGTCCTTGATTGTCATGTTTACATAAGCATACATGTTTAACCAAGCAAATCATCTATTCGAATACTTGTTTGCAGCGTAAATATTATCATTTTCGATTTCTTTCAAAGAGAAAAAATTACACAGTACGTAATGAATGATACACAGCCGCTAATATCAGCAATAGATCGTTTCTCCATTGATGATGGTAATAAGATTACAAAACGATCAGTAACTAGCACGTAAGACAGAATTGAATTTAGAAATGTATCAATGACAATATTGTATTCATATAGATTGTCCAATTTGCGTCAGCGTTTCACTTTCAAACAGCGTCATCAAAAATATGAAAAGTTGGATGATGATAATAATCAAACTCAGATAGAACCGACGGTCGGATATTTTCAACTGGTAAGTGGATGGAGAGCTAATGCACAGTAAACAACGGAATATTTTTTTTAACTTTGTGACAGTTTCGTTTTGCTGATTGGCTCGATCTTCTCATAATAGTTCTTGGCTTATGTGCCGTCTTAGTGTATAGCATTGCATTCACAGCCCGCTTTGTTGTTTTTGGGCGACTTACAAGCTTATTTGCGTCACAATCTTTTATCGACCGATGTCCTTTACAACAAAACACATTGGTTAATCTTAGCAACAGCAGTGAATGTTCGTGGAATATGGTGCAAAATACTTTTAACTATGATGGATCTCAAAAGTAAGCAATGATCATAGAATATGTTGATGGACTTCAACTGTTTTATTTATTAATTGCTCATCAATTTTAGTCTCTGTCGAAATGAGAATACTACCTTAACACCATTAGAGGCGCTGTCTACGACCAATTTCTATACTGATGTGAGAAATCAATTGCGTTGGCTGTTAAGTAAACGGAAACAACATAATTTTTAATCTATTTAAAAAAAGAATGATTTGTATCTTGAATGTATGTAGTCATCGGTGCAATCGAAATCGTCTGTACTGCTGTTCGTTATTATCTCTTCACCGTTGTCGGTAGACGGCAAGCCTCCCGAATACGTATCCGTCTTTTACAATCACTCTTAAAACGCGTATGTCAACCACGTTCATCTTCACGCTAACACAACGGATGAGGCATCGTTTTCTCAGTATCTCTGTTCACTATCATCATTGACACTCTAACTTTCTTTCCAAATATACATTCTGAAACATGACAGGAAATGAGAACTGAAGTCATTTGTGAGAAAAGTAATCCTTTCCTTTCCCCACAGATCGTGACAAATATTGTTAGAATTTTCCATTATGTCTATCATGATGTCAAAAGTCAGAGAACTGTGTAGAACTATCATGTACAAGTTTGAAATATTTTTGCTTCTCTCGATTGTTTTCTGTGGTATTTTAACTCGTACACTATCGTAATGTGTCTCATGCCGCCTTCACAATTAATAGTTTCAATAAATTTAGTAAGATCAGTATCACATACGATGAATTGATTCAAAGAAAAAATTGAAACATCTGAAAACATCACAATAAAAGTTTCAATGTTGTAAGAGTTAAAATACCACAAGAGAAAAGTTGAAAAATAAAATACATTGAAAATGAAACTTTAGTGCTCTACATAGTTCTGTAGTGTTTGAAAAGTGAAGAAGACTACACTCATTGAATAAAAGATATCATTTTGTGGGTAATTACACAGCACATATTTTGAAAAAAAGCTCTAATCTGAGCAATGACAAAGAATGGAGATATTGAAAAATCAGGAAGAGGCAATTTATTCGGCTGCATCTTTTACAAACCTAATTTTAGTTGATTCTTGCACATACGTATTATTTATTTCTCTGTCTCTCATTCATAGAATATTTCATATTGCGATATGAATTCGATGAACCAGTTTAGTGTCAAGCTTTTCAAGTAAGCAATTTTCTGTCGATACTTTCAAGAGAAACAATGTATGGCTCTCTCATCTCATAGCAATATTGACACTCTCAGTAAAAGCATCGGTTTTGAATTTTCAATGATGCTCGTAGCATTATTTTCCAATATTGTCAGTGTTTGTGTTTCTTTAATCATTAATTGGAAGTTGACACTTGTCATACTGGGCACGATACCATTAACTGTTGCTGGATCATATGTTTTTTCAAAGGTAAATGCGACTTTTGATGATTGATTTAGCTTACTCTAATTCTAACAGCTTACTGCCAAAGAAACAAGATACGAAATGGATATGTATTCAAAAGCTGGAGAAGTCGTTCAGGAAGTGTTCAGTTCTCTTCGTACTGTACTTTCGCTCAACGGTGAAAAACTCGAAGAAAAGAGGTAGGAAATATATACATATATTGATAATTGAACTTTGTAAGTCATGAGCTATGGTCATGTTCTAATTTGATTGATTATTTAGATACAAAAGCAAATTACAAGCTACTCGTAGGAGTAGTGTATGTAAGGGTGCTATGTTTGGTTTTCTTGTTGGATGGATCTATCTAATAGGATACTTAATTTATTCGGTTGGTTTTGCTTTCGGCTCATCTCTCATGAATCATGAAGGACATGAAAGACTTAGTTTTAGTGATCTTCTTGTAGTAAGTAATTCATTTCACCAATCAGATTTAGAAAACCAATGATTTCTCGATGTTCGAGTAGATATTGATTACTTCGACACGGCTTATCACTAATATTGCCTTTGTTAGTCCTTTCTTTCAGTTATTAGAAGAAGCTCGAGGTGCTTTAGCGCCTGTATCTCGATTGATCGACGAGGTATAGTTGTGTCTAATGTATAACTTCATCTTTTCACCGTCACATAACATAGGAAGAGAAGACAAGTATGAATGAGACACAAATATTGCAAGATTCTGTTGCTTGTGACGAAACTATCAATATGAATGGTGATATTCAATTTGATAATATCAACTTTGCCTATCCAGCTCGACCTGATGTCTTAGTCCTACGAAATCTCACTTTGACGGCTCGTCCTGGTGAGATAACAGCTTTAGTCGGTTCAAATGGCTCTGGTAAGTATTTTACAAAAAAAAAACATACGAAAGATTCATATTCTGTTATTTGTTGAATGAATAGGTAAGAGCACATGCTTTTCACTTTTACTTCGTTTTTATGAGCCTCTATCTGGTGGCATTACAATTAATGATCGATCGATAACAGATTACAATTTGAAACAACTCCGACAAAAGATTGGTGTAGTCAGTCAAGAACCTGTATGTCTACCTTCGTGTTTTCTGGCTTTTGCATTTTATGTTGTTCTATGTAGATTCTTTTCGCTACAAGTATTTATGAAAATATTCGCTTTGGTAAAGAAAATGCAACAAGAATCGAGATCGAAGAAGCAGCACGTCAAGCTAATGCACATGATTTCATTATGAAATTACCCAATGTTTGTATCGAATGCTCGTTTCTAATGACATCTACTGTGTATTCTATTTTGGTAGAAATATGATACAGTCGTTGGTGAACATGGTGTTCTATTGAGTGGAGGTGAAAAGCAACGTGTGTGTTTGGCTCGTGCTCTCGTCAAACAGCCAGTGGTGCTTTTGTTGGACGAAGCAACAAGTGCTCTTGATAAAGCTAGTGAAAAGGTTGTCCAAGAAGCACTCGATCGAGCTTGTAAAGGTTCGCACGCATCTTTCTCTTTCAATCATATCATCTATAGTTACACATAGGTCGAACGACTATTGTGATCGCTCATCGTTTTGCAACAATTCAAAATGCACATCAAATTTATGTGTTGCATAATGGATGTGTCATCGAACAAGGTACACACGAGATATTGATATCAAAAGAAAGGAGTCAATATTGGAAGATTATGAAAGAACAACAGAGAGAACAACTAGAAAATGATATCGAAGAAGCAGCAACTCTCACACAATATGAAGATGATGATCAAAAACAAACATGTACGTTAATAATTACTTTTAACAAAAGAATATTTCGAACGAGATCATTGTTTATTGCAATTAGCTGAACGCTCTCGACATTATAGTCATAACGAACTTGACGATGGGAATAAAGTAAAGCATATAAATGTATTTCTGTCGGATTGTTTTTGCATGTACGGTGTACTTTTAATAGGCGTCATTGACTACAAATCGTCGACCTGTTTTCTTGCGACTTTTGTTTATGAACAGTCCAGAGTGGATTATCATTCTGATAGGCTGTGTGATGTGCATCATCAGCGGAGTGGGTCAATCAATCCAGGTTATTCTACTTTCGAATACAATTTCAGTAAGTCATTTTCATGTACAACACAATCAACATTATCGTAATTGATTGTTTACAGGTATTCAGAGCATGCACTTACGAAGAACGACGTCATCAAATTTTCAAATTTTCTCTTCTCTTCTTGTTGATGGGTATTGTCTTTTTGATTGTTCGTGTTATTCAAGTAGGAATATATCTTATAAAACGTTTCATATTGTGTTCATCACTAGTACACTGCTTTTGCTGTATCTGGCTCAAAATTGACCGAGCGTATTTGTAGTAAAGCTTTTGCACACTATCTGCGTCAAGACATGGCCTTCTTTGATCTTGTGGAAAATAGTTCTGGAGCTATTTGTAATCGTCTTTCATCGAATGCATTGGCTATTCAGCAGATGGTTGGTTCTCGCCTAGGCATTGTTTTTGAATCAATCGCGATGTTTGGAGTGGGTATGGTTCTCGGATTTTTGTTCAATTGGCAGTTAACATTAATCATGTTGTTCTTTATTGTCTCTTTGTTTATTATTTCTGTCATGCAAATATGTTGGCAAGCTCGATTGAATCAACGTTCTGATTGTATTCTTAGATTAGCAAGTTCGGTAAGATCAACATTTCTATGACAATGTTACGTACGCAGAAATGTTGATACTGCACCTTCTTTTGTTAATAGCTCGCTGTAGAGATCATTCACAATATGCGTACAGTGAAACAACTGGCAAGCGAAGGAGAATTCTTACGTCAATTCTCAAATTTAGTTCTTAAAGAATTCAAGTCAGTTTTTCAATCACTTTTTTTCTTATTCTCTATGCATTATTTTGTCATAGGATTCGCCGAAATGATATAATAATATCCTCCATTCTAGAGAGTATCTATTGGGGATCAGGGCCATTAGCTTTGTTAGTTCTTTTTTGGCGGGCGCTTATCCTTGCTGAACACAAGGAACTGAAGATGAACAATATCTCTATGTACATAAGTAGAAACTTTCAAGATCTATTTTATCTACATGTTTTTCTAGAGTGTTCGCCTATTATATATTCGCCTTGGAATCGTTGCGATGCATCATGACCTCGTAAGTAATTGTGTCGATCAGTTTCTTTTTGTCAAGTACTCTTGCTTAGAACACGACAGATGAGTGACTCATTATCAGCAGCTCGAGATTTTTTCAATTTGTTCGACCGAATAACAGCCATCGACAATAATTCAACGCATGGTAAACAATTGGTGAGTAATTCATTTAATATAAGTCTGATTCTTGTACAAATTACTTTTATTTTATTGTTAAAATGTGTTGATAATAGAGCGATTTCAAAGGTGAAATAGAATTCTATCAAGTCAAATTTGCGTATGCATCTCGGCCAAAATCCTGCATTCTGAATAAATTTCAATTGACCATCAAACCTGGTAGGTTTATTCTGTGTATTTTCAGTTTAGTTTTTGATTAAATTTCTCTATTTGTCAATAAGGTCAACGTGTGGCCCTTATAGGTATGTCGAAGTCATTTGTTGTTCATTTAAAACAGTTACCAAATCTATTCACAAAGGTGCATCTGGTTGTGGCAAATCGACAGTCATTCAACTCTTGGAACGATTCTATGATCCTATGCAAGGTCGAATTGTGAGTATTTCTCTTTTATGCTATCAACATATTTGTGTAAACACTCGGCTAATAACATCTAGTCTCTTGATGGTGTTGATATTCGAGAGCTGAATATTCAATGGCTTCGTTCGTGTCTTGGTCTTGTTAGTCAAGAGCCTATCTTATTTGATTTGACTATTGCTGAGAACATAGCATATGGTATAGAAAACACTTCGATTGAAGATATTATCGATGCAGCCATCAAAGCCAACATTCATGATTTCATTCAGCAGTTACCTCAAGTGAGTAAAACATCAACGCATGATATTTGATTTTCTTTGCATCGCAATACTAGGGCTACGAGACCAAAGTTGGTATGAAAGGCAGCCACTTGTCAGGTGGTGAGAAACAACGTATTGCTGTTGCTCGAGTTCTTCTGCGTCGACCGACAATTTTGTTATTAGATGAAGCAACCAGCGCCATGGATTCGTACAATGAACAGGTTCTTTTCCTTATGATACTTGTTAACCTAAGAGTCATTTTTGATATGAATAGATCGTTCAAGAAACTCTTGAAAAAGCTCAAACTGACGTACCAACTCGAACTTCACTCATAATTGCTCATCGTCTGTCAACCATTCGTTCATGTGATTTGATCTGCTTTCTTGACAAAGGACATATCGTAGAAAGTGGTACTCACGCAGCCTTGATGGAACGACGTGGAGCCTACTACCATATGATAGTTCGCAGCTGTAATTTGTAAATTGTCTCAATTGTTATTTTAATAACACTGACTAGTGATTGAAATAAACTATTCACTTTGGTTAAAGAACTCTTCGGGCTATATAATAATTTCGAACGAAAAAATGCGAAGAATGGAGTTTTTTCGAGTCCGAAAAGAGAATAAAAATTATCGTTCTCATTATTGTCATCATATCTCAATAAAAATACATACTACAAAAGATTATTTGTTTGATCTAACCACCATCAGATACCTCACGCAGGATTTCAAAAATATTGGAAGCTAACGATTCCATAGTACGATCATGGGTTGTGTGTGTGTTTGCATCTTTTAAGCACCCACAACTTCAAGAAGAGGGTTTTCTCGTCTTTCTTGTAATAACTCTTCTCTTAGATGGTGACAAGCGGAGTCGATGAGACCGTGAAATCAATGGTCATTTGAAAAAGCATACCGATCCTATCGGTTGTTTCTAAAGGCATCTTTGACGAATCCGAACGAGACATCACGACTTTCACTGGGAAAAAATTATTAAAAGATATATACTATTTTAAGATCTTCTCCTTAGTTCTTTTCTAGGTATATAATCACAGAACAAGTTAAGAACATAATATAATCCCTTATCGTTTCATGTTGTCAGTTGTTTGTAATCTGAGAACTAAAGAAGACATTAAAACAATTATTCGTTGTTCTTCATTTTTGATTTTTCATGAACATAGATAATATCGAAAAATACTCTTTGCTTTTTTTTTTAGATTAAAATTTATGCTAACAAACAGCCAAATCAACTTGAACGTATTTGAATATAATTGAGTTTGTGTTATAACTACGCAATGGTAATAACTATTCCGTCTGAATTTTCTTTTAGAAACAAAACGAGTTGATGATGAAATCGTTTTTTTCATGAACCAAACAATTTCGACGAGAACATATTTGTGAGTGTGGATGTGAATGAACGAAAAACTTACACTCAGACTCATTGCCAATACTCATTGTACATCTTAAACAAATCAAATATCATCATGGCTCATCATGTGGTATATTTTTATAAATAAAAAGTTAAATTTGATACAACTATTAACTATTCAGTTGCATTTAAATTAAAAAAATATTCATTTGACAAAGAAAAATGTTTTTTTCCTTCTTTTAATGATCTTCATATGGCTTCATATTGTTCATCAATGATAGATTCATTTCAAGCTCGTTATGATTTATTCTGTATTATAGATCCTCGTGGTACTACATAGTTTATACATTATATAGTTTATGCAAAATATTTATTCTATAGTGATTCGACTAAAAGTGAAAACTAGTAAATAATCTTTTTTTCATATTTCATGTTCATGGTTTTCTATTTTTTGTAAGATGATCATATGATGAAGATCTCACTCGGTTTTATGATTATATTCCCGTTTATCGTCATTACCACTTATTAATTCATCTCGTTCTTAATGAACAAAATACAACACCAATATCGATGAAAATATCCCCTATTACAGCATCTAATCTACTTGAACAACACGTTGTGTTTCTCTTTGTTTTTATAAAAATATTTTATGTATATGATTCTTCTTCTATTGTTTTAGTTATTATCATACAAAACAATAAATGAATAAATGAACGTTTTTAAGCTCGAAAAACAAAATTTTACGTCATATATAGTACGTTTAGATATTTAAGACTTGAAAGGTGAGGAGGAAATATGCATGTTCGTGCAACACCAAATTTAGAAAAAAAAACACATTTTCATTCGATTTTTATGAAAAAGGGAAAGAGAATTTCGTGGCCGAGAAATGACCATTAGCGGCATTTGACAGTAGACATATTCAGATTTCTCGTGAAGAAAATGTGATAAAGAAAACTTGTCGTTTTTTGTCGATGGCTTTTATGTTCTGAACACTACTAATGAATACTTTGATGGTAAAAGAGCTGACGATGGAACATTCCCAGTTGTTGAAGCGCTTTTCAGTCGGGACTTAGTACATTTTGTAGACCTTAGTGAGCTATGTTTACTATTAAAAAAGTTCGTGCCCATGGCCTGTTTCTAAGAAGATCGAACGTTTTTAGTTTTATAGCTGGATATTTCCATTGTATCTCAACCGCGTTGTACACAAATGATCTCCGATTTTGATGACGTTTTCAGCGTTTATAGAGCTTTTAATTCTGAGTATTTTGATAAAAACAAATTTTTTCAAAACGCTTTTGTTTTGATGAAGATACATTCAAAATACTGTAAGTAATAAAAACTCAAAAACGCTCAAGAAAAATTTTTCTCAGAGTTTTTGGGTTTTCTACTGCCTACAGGTTTTGAATGTATCTTCATTAAAACAAAAGTATTTTGAAACAGTTTTTTTATCAAAATGCTCAGAATTAAAAGCTCTATAAACGCTGAAAACTTCATCAAAATTGGAGATCATTTGTGTACAACGCGGTTGAGATACAATGGAAATATCCAGCTATAGAACTAAAAACGCTCAATCTCCTTAGAAATAGGTCATGGGCACGAACCTTGTGTATAGTAAACATAGCTCACTAAGGTCTACAAAATGTACTAAGTCCCGTCTGAAAAGTGCTCCAACACCTGGGAATGTTCCCTCATGAGAAAAATATAAGGACACGATTTTGCTCTGATGCAAACATTATCTCCGGAGATCTAAAATTTTGAGAATTCTTTTCATCGAATTCACGATCTCTTTTACTAACAATATTGACATACCACGGGTTCTAATGAAAAGATATCCAGATATGGTGTCTGTTCATAAATAGGTACAAAATACGCGAATCTTAATATTTATATTTTGCGCTATCAGATCTTGCCATAGATTGTGATGTACTCTACAAACTTCATGGACATTCAGTCTTTGGTCTAGATACAGGGTTGACGAATCAAGAATTGCAGAAATTATGCTCTGCACTCTTATGTGCTTTCATCAAATTATTTTCAAAAAAAATATGTATTGACTATATACGGGCATGAACGAACAGAAAGACTATCGATCACGCTTGAATCCATATTGATTGAATGATTGTCGCTGAAAAGTTTAAATTGATCAACATATCAATCACCGATTGGCAGCTCATATTAAAAACATATGTAAGGAATGGCTCTTCTCCGCCAAACCATTCTGTTCAAGCGAGCAACTCATCATCAAGAGAATGAGAAAGTACACTGATCTTTTTGTTTGTTTTAAGACATGACAACAATTCAAGAATTTATGGTAACGCATTGATTATCGCAACCTTACATTGATTGCGATATTTCAAATTTACAATTCTATTATTTACAACCATTATCGTTACAATGATCCGAAGTCCAATTATCGACTCTAATGTTATTGTTCCAGTCGAAATGAAATGTATTCATTAATTCATACAATTATTTATACACTCCAGTCTCAAATACTTATGTTGCTTTAATATGCTTTCCTTAAGCAAAGGCTTTAGAAAGAAGTAAGAAAAACCGAAGTTAACATTTTTTTCTAATGAAGTGGTAACATATATAAGTTGAGAATTCCTAGTGACCGATAGGATTTCTCACTCTATGTATAAGATAATTTAGACATATCATCTATTCGAGATGAAATAATATTTTAATTCTCTTGAAAGAAGATATTTTTTTATTTGTTAAATTATTTCTTGTGTGTTAGTTATAATATCATACAGTGAGGGAGAGGCACCATCTTATGTCACAACCCACCATGTGACTTGGTAACTTGACCCAGAGAGATTCTTTGTGCCTGTTATGGCGAAAGAATTGTAGATTCAGGAAGACCTACTGCATTTGTAGGTGCCTGCCATTGTTATGTACGTCATAGCGACGTTTATTACCCAACCGATTTGACATGGTCTGTTCTGCGTGTACCCATTTCAGGCTCCGGGAGCCTCCCTGTTCGTGCGCGTGAAAAGTTCGAAGAAATGAATAGCAGTTAGAAAGAAGTTGTTGAGCAAGCCATAAGAAAAAAAAACAAATTTACAACTTCTTTTTTACGCAGTCAATACTATTCATAAATGTTTTGATCAGAGGATGCGTTGATGGAAGTGATATTTGCCCAATAGCAAGCGCCTTTTCTAGATATGATATTGCTTTTGAGTAGTCACCCATGCCACTATACGCATGGCCGATGTTGTTATACGAAGAAGCCAAATCAGGATGATTTGGAGGCAGAGCTTTTTCTTCAATTTGATGTGCTTTTTCATAAAATTCAAGTGCTTTCAAGTAATCATTCTTGCCGTAATACGCTGCACCGATGTTGTTATAGGAAGAAGCCAAACTAGGATGATTGGAAGGCAGAGTTTTTTCTCTTAATTTAAGTGATTTTTCATAAAACTCAAGTGCTTTCGAGTAATCACCCATGTTGTTATACGCAAGACCGATATTGTTGTAAGAATTAGCTAAATCAGGATGATTCGAAGGCAGATCTTTTTCTTCAATTGTATGTGCTTTTTCATAAAATTGAAGTGCTTTCGCGTAGTCACCCATATTGTTATACGCCAGACCGATATTGTTGTAGGTAGAAGCCAATAATGGATGATCTTCAGAGAGAGCTTTTCGCTTGATTTCGAGATATTTCTCATAAAACGAAACAGCTTCTTTGTATTGTCCTTGATCGTCTTTCACCCATCCAAGTTGGTGATAAATACGTGCTCTATCATTGTCGTTTAAAGCATTCTTGAGTAATTCATTGTAAAGTTCTTCAGCTTGGTTGAAGTGACCCACTTGAATCATTAAGTCTCCCAATCGATGCCATCCTGAAAATCCACAAAGTTCGCCTTGTATGCATCTAGTGAGAGCAGCCAGTTGTGGATCATTGTCGTCAGTTAGAGTCAACTGAACTTTCCAGAGGCGACCATTGTTGACACTTTGCTTGATATCATCGACACGAAAAACAGTGTGCATTGAGAAGAGAATTTCTTTCTCCTCTTTCATAGCACTGTATTTTTCGATCAGCGCGAATGGAGTATTTGAAGCCGTAACTTTACTTGGATCGATTGTCATAACGAAGAGAACACCCACTGTGTCCTCATTTTTGTGCAATACGCGCTCAATAAATTCCACTGCTATCTGTTTTTCTGTACTTGTGGACAAGAAATTATTAAATGAGAGCAATCCACCTTTTGTATCGACCAGATGTTGAAAGTCGTGTTCGCTGAGCCCTTGACCACGATAAACGACAAATTTTTTCATATTCGCATCCAATTGTTCTTTGTGAAGTTTTTTTAATTGTTGATGAAGATTGCGGATGAAAAAGCCCATTTTGATCATGGTTTCCATGTCGAGTGAGCGTAAAGCCTTGTTGAGCATACCATAGAGAAAAAATTGACGAGTATACCACCAGATTGGGGTTTTCTGGTGGTATTTAAGCTGAAAATCCTTTAATTGAGATTCGCAAATGTTTTGTTGGCGGCAATGAGTCATTAGGTCTTCCATCGCTTTAGCTTCGTCTTCATGAATTTCCATTATGATCTCTTTGAATAGTACCGAATACATGTAGGATGGTTCCAATTGGTTTAGTTTTTGTTGATCCGATGCTGCTGTTATCATAATTTGCTTTGGAACGAAACTCATCGGTATAGTGTCATGGTCGCATTCGCGGGCAGTCTTTTGTAACAACATGCAAATGCGCTCGATTGAGGTGGAGACATAACGAATCTTTGACCAATTTTCAGCCCATTGTTTGTGTTGATCTTTGTTTCTACAAAAAATAAAGATGGTATCAAGTTGAGCCATATTGTGCACCAGAGGCACTATCTTTTCGCCAAATGTTCCAGAGATGATTAAAATAATTTTTTCATCTTTGATACTTTTTAAATATTCAAAGCATTCATCAGCATCAGTAAATAGTTCTACTGTATTAACGGTATTTCGAAGTTGTGTAAGAGAATGTTGAAAATCTTCCTTGCTTTCATCAATTTTGGCATCCAGCCAGACTAAAAGAAAGTTTTGCATAATTCGTATGGATCGTGATCGAAAAGATGGTGACGAAGCTGTGATAGTAGCAGTAGTGGTAGTTCTAACGGTGACTTGTCTTGATGCCACTGATGCCGTCTTTGTGCTGTCTTCGGCAGTGCTGGTGCTACTGTCTGTAGGCAACGTCTCTTTGTCCATGTTATATTTAGTTGTAAATTTTGAATACTATAAAAATGAATGAATCAATATTATTCAATAGCTGAAAAAAGTGTATGCAACGAGAATAATCACATCCACATTCAGTGCAATCGATTCACACCAAGAAACAGAAAAAAATCTTGAGATATGAGTTAATGTCGAGATTAGTAGCATAACCACAGAAGAGTTCTTCATGATTGGAAATTTTATTAATTAAAACTGATCTAACCTTCTAAAAGCTGCAGTCAAATTGGATCGCTAGAAATTTTAAACCGATCAAACAGAATTAGAATCATTTAAAAAATAAACTATTTCTTCAGAATGTAATATTATTGTACTGCAAAAAATTCAAACGCTATTTTAATGGTGGTGCCAATTTTTGGGTGTTCTATATTTATACATGTTTATCAGGCGAGAAAAATTAATATGGTAAGCTGCCATTGGAAGACGAAAAAATAATAGAACTGCATAATAATCTTTGCCGACAAGTTCACATGGACCTAATACTTTTGTATCTTTTAAGGATTCATTGAAACGATGAGGAGTATTTTGCAATCAAATTGACATAACTCTTGCGAAATTTTGACTAAAAACGATTCAAATTGTCGGTCCAATCTGTAAGACTCGATACAACATCGACCAACGTATGTAGTATCCGATGCAAAACCTATTTTTTATTTTCACTACGAATCCTTCAACTTTTATCCATTGAAACTAAAATATTGTTTTTGCATAAGATTCACTATTCAATTTTACACAAGTTGCAAATTAGGAAGATATCTGAACAAAGTTGTGCACTAAAATCTACCAAGAATCCTAGATCTGTCAATAAAAACTAATTTTCCAGGTTGAAAAACCATTTACTTCTATTTTTTCTATGATCTGTTAACAATTAAAAGGATATAATAAAAAGGTTTGGTGACTCGCAAAAGGCTTGATCAATCGACGATTCTTAGACTACTTTCATTACTTATCCTTATGATGCCTATCATTGATTGTCTCTCTCGGATTTTCTAGATTTTAACTGTTTCCAACTTAAGCTTTTGAGATGATGGAAAAGGAAGCATAGCCGATCAAAAATGGTGTCTTTTGAGTGCGAGTTTTATTGGGTTTGATGAAAAATGACTATTATATTAGGTGCAAAGACACCATACGATCTAATTCTATTCTCTCAAGTACAGTCGAGAAAATGGAAAGTTTTAACTACTTTACATGACAGTATTGAAAGGCAGCTATGCTAATTTTCTCGAACTTTATGTTGCAAGACGAGATCGAACTAATCTGAAAGCACTCATTAATATGCTGACTTGTGTTTTCATTTTTCTACTATTGTAAAAGATATTCTGAACTTTATTTTAGAAACGACATAAAGAGTTGGCCCTTTTTTGGCATGATGAATATTTTAGTTTTGGGTCTACGAAAATTGGTCGAACAAAAAATAGTCAAACGAAAATTGATTGCTGTAAATTAATCGATACGTAAATTGATCGATACGAAAATTAAGCGATACGAAAATTGATCGACACGAATATTGGTCAATATGAAAAGTAGTCAAGCGTTTAGTTTAAAAAAATAATCGTTACAGTGCATTTTCTATTGATGCTAATAAGTTAAATAGCGATAAAAAAAAAACATTCAGAGAATGATGGCAATTTTGAAAATAAAAAAGCACATATTTCACTGATGTATGGGAATTATTATAGGCTAAAGATCACTTTAAAGAAACATATACTTTTTTTTATTCTAATTAACTTCTATTACTATAAGATAAATTTTACATAATCCAATAAGGATTATGTTAAAAGATTCTTAATAGGTTATATAAAGAGCTATTATACTAGACAGTCCTATTCCTTTGTTCTCAAATGTTAACATTTACCTTGAGCACTACTCAAAAGAACAAACCTTTATTACTTCCTAAAGGGTTTTCTTACACTATCGATAAAACAACTATTGATAAAACTTATTGGAAATGTAAACATGCTCGAAAACTCAAATGTAAAGGTCAAGTTCATACTAATTATATTAATACAATATTGTTATACGAAAATGATAATCATAATCAGAGTGGTAATGCGCTTCCAGCTAAAATTAGAATATTTGGAGAAAAAGTTCGTGATCGAGCAATTAATAGTAATGAAACTACTCAAGCTGTTATTGATAATTGTCTGACGAATTTATCTGATTATGCTGTTGCTCGTCTTCATGATTTCAAACATATTAATTATCCGTGATCAATTTTCGTTCGACCAATTTTCGCTTTCCCTTTGGTTTGATGTCTAGATCTTATCAGTGAGATAAAAGTATTGTAAAAATTACTCTGTTTGACATGGTTTGTGGTAGGACTATTTTACATGTAAGAGCTACTTTAATTGAGACTATTGATTGAATATGCTGAACATTTTCAATCGAAGCGTTTTTAAAATTATTCTCCAATGATTAAAATACCTCATTTCTATGTTCCGTCGTTTTTAATCTCTTTGCAGCTATTCTTGGCATTCAATTTTTTTATCGCAAGTTTAATAATGTAACAAATCAAATATACTAACCTAGTATTGGGGTGTACGAGTTTTGTTTTGTATGCTTGCAACCAATTTCGCTCTGTGTTTATCATTAACGAAATTGTTTCTTTTCAACTTATGTATGCTTATGTAAATCACCCGAGCATGACATTTTCATCAGGTAAACATTTCTTTTTATCAATAAACTCATCATTACGTGTATTTCGTTCTTGCAATATTCTTTCTCTTTTTTTTGCTTTCTTTCACGTTCTATGTAGTTACGATGAGAAAATATACAATAATATTTGCACATACGCACGCATTAAACTTGATTCTCGAAGTTTCTCCGTTATGAGTAAACGAAATGACAGTTTTTTTAATCTCATAATATGAATAATATCAGCAGTTCATTGTTTAATTTCTGATTTTCTCACAATAATGATTCATTCGGTCAATCATATAAGAACTTTCTCGTTTAGAAGAATCGATCAATGGATTTCATTGTGTAACTTATTGACAAATGATCATTACTAGTGATTGACCTGGGACAGGCACGAAATTCCTTTGGAACATCATAGTGAATGCCGAAATCAGGTGTGAAATGAATGAAGCGTTTTGTTGTTTGTTAGAACGTTGCTCATTGAGCTTGAGTCTCTAATCAAAAGATGGATTTCAAGCGTAACGTGTTAAAATAGAATTTGTGAAGTAGTAGAAAGATACTCAGTGTTTTGAGCCACTTGTAACTATTGTCTGTGGAAAATCAAAGATGTTTTGTCGCTCAACGAATTTACTTAGGAGCGGGTATGAATCTGGCCGTTCTGATGTCAGCCTCTTTCTGAACTACAAAAACACTCATCTACATACAATCAACAAAACCAGAGTGTGAGGATACAAACGACCGCTTTCTATTCGTATTACAACCGGTGCCAGTTAGAGTGTGCAGCTTTTAAGAATAAATCTTGCTATCTAACCGAAGGTAATTCATACGTCGCTCTTGTTCTCATTTAGTGAAAAGATGAAATATTATTTCAATGTTTCTGATTTGGTGAATTCTTTCGGTTCGTGCTAATATGGAAGAATAAATATTTCAGATTTCACATGTAGTCAGACCCCCTTGAGTTAGATACAATTACTTGAATTCTGTTTCTTTTTCTTGAATTCTATGATCGTTTGAGATAAGAAATTTTTAAATCGTATATGTACCATGAATTGTTTATAGTTTTTTGAATTATTGATTTTTGACTCGTGTATATATCGCTATACTCTGTCACATTCATTGAGAATTACTATACAAAAATACGGTATGGGTCATTGTTACAATTCATTAGACAAGTGAAAACAAAATCAATAAAAAACATTTCTCAAAGATATGAAAACGATAAAGAAAAACTTGTGAGATGAGCGAACCATAAAATAAAGAATATTGTTCACTTTTATTCAATTGAACAAATATTAATTTTTCTATTGATTTTTGTCTCAAATGTGAATTTAGCAACAAATGAAAGAGACTAGGATGAATCTAAAATTAGTTTATCTTATTTCACTTTTACATATACATAAATCTTTCTAATGTTAGAAGAAAACGAGAGAGGTGACCTATGTGCTTATACCATTATTCTCACTCTAGATAAATATATGAACGACAAAATCCATCTTCCTCATTTTCTATAGTAAGAATAAAAATATAACATTATCATTCAATTACATGCTTGATGTCTTCGCAAACACTGAAGTTCAAAATATCAAGAGCAAGAGAGATTAACAACATAGTATGTTGACAACGAAAAAAGAACACTATCCTAATATACTTTTATTATTGTTGCTATTTCTTCTCATTCTACACGTAAAGCCAGTGAGTGAAATTAATTTCAAGGTAGAATGTGTAAACAAATGAATACGGACTAGAAGCATGGTTACATTTTTTTTTCGTTCTTTCTTTCTTTTGCTTAATTGCATCTCATCAAAAGTATTTTATCACAATATGTCTCTCTAATTTGTAATGAGTTGGTAAGCTAAAATGAATTAGAATGTGTCAAAAATCAATTCAATACTGTTGACTGGATTTTGGCATTTCTTTTTCTCACGTTTCAAGAATCAGTTCTTAACGGTTTTTGCTTTTTATATGACAAGAACATTTTAAAATTTTTCATGATATATGCGACAGCAGCATTGTTCAACAAATTTTTCGAAAATTTTCTTAGTTGTGAAAATGCTTACATTAAACAATTGAAATAAATGATGGTGAAGAACAAAGTTATGAAAAAATGGGAGAAAGATATTTCCAAAACTCAAACTTGAGATAGAAAAATTTCTAAACTTTGATATTTTTAGACAAACGTTCTGAACGGAATAAGATGTCAACAAGGTATCGCCAATGGAAGTTTCCATCGGAGTTAAGAATAGTAGCCGACAGGGAGTATTGATGTTATCGATATGGAGGTGAAAAAGACCATTTACATCAATAACCCACATTCTTTCTCAATTGGCATAGCTGTTGGTATGAATATATATTCATGACATGTGTTGAAAACCTCTGTCTTATCAGTCTGCAGCCATTTAAACTTTTACTCTATCGATGAACAGTGTCCAATTCAGTATCAATGGATAGATCACATCGTATTTTATTTGATATAAATGGTTTGTTCATTAACACATTTGTGAAAACGAATATATGATACTAATTCTTGATTTTCTGCTAAAAAAATAATGTTTGAAAAATAGGTTTTTTGAATTTTTAAGTGTCTTTTCTTAATAGAAGTTTTTCGAAATGTATGCCCCGGACAGTATATATAGTGTACTATCTAACGCAACTAGTATCTTTTTTTGAGACAAGTGTGTTAGCGAATATTTTTCCAAAAACTCAAATTTACAGTTAACTTGGCCGATGTATAAAAAAATGTGTTGGAAAGGTTGGAAGTTTAAGGTACCCATATTTCTATGAATGAGAGCTCAAAAATTCGAGCAAATCAATTTTCTAGTGATGCGCTTTCATAGGTAACCAATTCAAAAGTCTATTATTTTGCGCATCCCATGTTAAGATATCAATTCTTTTAAAAACTTTATGCAGCGAAATATGAAATAACAGTCAATTGATATTTGACGTGCTTTTGTAAAGATTTCTAGGTATTGATTAAATTCTGTTCAATATTCATATACATAGTCATTTATAGTATATTGTTTAGTTAATATACTATAAACAGTGAGATTCTCGGATAAATTAAGTCTATAGATTATGTGCAGTCCTGAGCAACAGACGTATTCAATCAGTCTTTGTTGTATCTCGGTATAAACAAAAGATTAAGATGAAAAAAAAACAGCTGAAATACAGGAGAGCATAAAGAACAACATATTTCTTTTTAGTTGAATTAAAAAAATGGATATCGACTTAAAACAAATTTGAAGAACGTAATAGATTCTTCTTTTTCTTTTCACATAATTAAGGATGTACATCTCTCATTTGATTCTGATTGTTACAATAACGCTTTTATACTTGAAACGTTTATAACCTGCATACTTAGCTAATATGCTCATTACCACTCCGTCTTCCGAAATATTTGAGTAGTTTTTTTTTTGACAATCAAAGTTAAAGAATTTTATAGATAACCTCATTATTCATAGATCGTTCAATTATATTAGCACTTCTATTAACAATTTCTTTAACTATTACAAATAAAATCTATTCCATCAGTTATACTTATGAGTGTCTTATTCCTTCAAATCTTCAAAGTTTCTTTTATCCAACATGTGTAAATTTTCTTCGTTGATATGTACAATAAAATCACGATAGGAATTATTAAATATCTTTCAAGGAAAATTTAGCAGGCATTCTATAAGGGAACTGGCAATTATGTGGCATAGTGACAAGAAATTCTTTTTAATTAACAAACTGTCGAAAGCCGTTCAATACTTTCCGAATAGCAAGTGCAGAAACTTCATCAACTGTGGTTCGACGTAATTGCTTAACTCTACAAACCTGGTTTTGTATATTTTTTGAAATCACTAGTACTATTTTAATCCATCATATTAAAACAACGATGATCTGTCGAGCGTCATTAGAACATTAACAATTGTTTGCAGCCGCTTATCAATGAAATTTAAAGATAAAGATCATCCTAATATACCCTTGCGATTAAACTGACGGTTCCAGTGTGTTTCCCAAAATATCACGTGGAACTAAGACCGTTAGATCCTTAGATACAAACAAAAATTTTAAATCTATTTTCAGACGTTTTCACTATTGCATTGCTGAGATTAAAGACGCCAAATATTTTAGTACTTAAAAAAACCAATATTTTAAATATATACTGAAATCTTTGAATTCAACAATGAAAATATGAAGATTTCTCAACATATCTATCTCATGTTTTAATAATTCTAGTTCAGTTCTCAATTCCAGTGTTTTTGGAAACATTGAACGTCGAATGCTGCAACTACTTTATACTTCAAACATCGCATTTTGTAGTTTTTTAGTTATTCAATCTGATCAAATAAAGTCTAGAAGATCAAGATCATGAATTCATTTAAATTCAAATGACTAGAGAAATGGTGTTGAAAACTGGGTTCAACGGATAAAATAAAAATTCGATTAACTTGTTTTGTTTTTTTCAAAAATCTCTTTTCAAACTATCCTACACAGTTATTGCTTTTCATTCATTGCTAAATCAGTAATAATCCATGTTAATATCCTGCATGATTTATGTGTCTTTATAGTTTTATTCATTTATTGAAAATAA